ACAGTAACATATCTGTGTCTTCGAGAAAAGGAAGACCATGAAAAAACGAAAAAATTATATTTTTGAATTATTTTTATTTGATCTAGTTTTCGAGAAAATTACAGTCCAAGTACTTTTCGAACAACTCATTACTATACGCCTGTCCAATGGACATCCCTATCAATAATTTAGATGTTTATTTACAGTGAATAACGAAATTAAACTAATGTTTCAAATAAATTGCAAAAAATTGGTAGAAAAGTGTGTTTTCATGTGATTTCAGTGTTTGTAATAATAATTGGAATTCACTTCTCATAAGAATATTCCGATCGACAGACCATTCGCTGTATTCTCGCAGTACTTGTGAACAGTCGGGCCGTTGACTGAACGTTGGGGTCGAAGCCATTGACACTAGAATTCGCTTCAATTTAACTACCGGTGCGTTCAGTATGTCATCCCTTTGTGAATAAGGTTGTAAACTGTGTTCAATGGAGTAAATGTTATTTTATTTAAATAAAATGAAAATTTTTATTAAATTTATACTCATTTAAGTCAATGGAAAATAAGTCGAAATCCAATACTTCTGAACCAATTATTGCGAGACAATAGACATCCGATTTGTGGTCATATCTCCTGCTCTGAAGTACTTCGGGTGCCATATATTGTATACTTCCCACTCGTGATGTATGTTTTACATCAGTTTTACTAATATTGCTTTTATCATGAACTGTAGCTAAACCAAAGTCACATAACTTAACAAATCTACCGTTCCTTACGTTGTGTGCAATCAATATGTTTTCGGGTTTGAGGTCTCTGTGAATGATCTGTGGATTCAATTCATGCAAATACTGAACACTTTCTAAGATCTGACGGAATATTTCACACGAAATGAAGTACTCATAAGCACTCATCACTTCCCCTAATCTATCAAATGCTTTTGATTTAATTTCGAGAATATTCCGTAAATTTTGTGAACAGAACTCCATCTGAATGTAGAGGTGTTTGCTTTCGGGCCACGAATTGAAATACTGAACACAATATTCTGACCGAACGGACAATAAATTCTTCACTTCTTTTAAAATTCGTTTCATATAATCCTCAGAAAAGTCTGAATAATATTTTAAAAATTTAACTTATTTTTAAAACTTTCATTTTCTATTCACCCTTCAATTCAACTCTTTTGACGGCATATATGTGTTCATCGATTCTATGCTTCACTTTAAACACTGTCCCGAAACCTCCCAAACCGATGGCCGACAACTCAATGAAACGATTTTTGTAATTACTTTCAGTTGAATTGTCGCCTAATTTTGAGAGTATTTTGATAATTAGACAAATCGTAAGCAAATTATTATATAAGTGAATATAGTATACCTTCATTTGAATTGTTGTTTTCATTTGTAATATTATTTAATGAATGTTTCGATATTGGAGTTAATTGACCATTAATTTCACCAGAATTGGTGCCAATGATTGTGTTCACATTCAATGTATTATAGCTTATGTTGTAACTTAACTTATTGGCATAAAAATCAATAAAATTATTGTATTTATATTTGTGCACTTTGCTTGGTGATATAATTTCGTACACTTTGTTATCGCATTGTATTATTACTTTCTTTGTTGAATGAAGTGCTATATATGAATGAAACACATCAATACCTTGGACATTTAATTTCAATTCAATTTGTATCGGGGTTATTAGTACTTGTTTCTGCCCCGGATATGAGTCGCCCATATAAGTGCCACAAATATATATTTTATTAGTATTTGATAGGAAACACGTAAAATGATCTTGCTGAGAATACGATGAACTAATTGCGTTGATGTCTTTTAAATCAAGTATTAGTTTGGGTGAAAATATGCCATCAGAAGTATTATGTCCTGTTTGATGGTAGCTATTATCACCCCAACTGAATACCAAACCGTCGGAAGTGATGGCAAATGATGTAAATCGTGAACAAAAAATTCTGTTGACTTTATAACTATGTTTGAAAATATAATTTTTATTAAATCGCAGAGAAATTGGTGAAATCACATCATTTGCAGTATTATTGCCAATTTGTCCCCAATTATTACGGCCCCACGCGTACACCTGTCCATTGGTGGTGAGGGCCAGGGAGTGTTGAACACCACAACATACATGTGTTATACGCTTATCATTCAATGGGGATATGTTTTCCGGTTTTAAATGCGAATAAATAGCACTTTGTGTCAGTCCTCTACCCAATTGTCCGCATTCATTGTAACCCCAACTAAACACGTGATTCATGTCATTGATAGCCAGCACAAAGTCGTGTCCATTGATAAACTGTTGGACCCTTTGTTCACACAATTCGGGTATAATTTGTGGTGTTTTCACTGCATTCTCGTGACCCAAACCCAGACAACCCTTAAAGTTATATCCCATACCATACACGGAGTCATTGTTTGTGACAAATATTATATTACTTTTATTGTTGTTATCATTGAAAACATGAATTAACTTGATTTCTTGTTTAATATTCGCGTCAATCGTATCGCAAATGCGAAACTTATTCAAAAGTTCGCACATTTTGGGCACAAATTATAAAATGTTTAATTAAAAATAAAAATGTAAATATTTAAAAATTATATATTTATATTAACAAAACACGAAATGAAGTCCAAATGAATAGTGATATGAAAGGTGTTGCCATTGAAAATATCGCGATACAGTATATTGTAACTGGGCGTTGAGTATTGTTAATACATTCAATTGTTTAAATTATACAAAGTATGTATTTACTACTAATAATGTAAAGAGTATTATTTAACAGAATTATGAAATTAATGACATTAATAACATAGTTTGAATTTTTACATTCATAAACATTTTCTAATAATAATTGTCATGTAGTCAATAGAAACAAATAGTCCATACAATCAATAAGATTAGATTATAACTATAAATTACATTTTGAGTGCTGTTTGATAAAGCAAATTAAAGGTTAAAAACACACCTAATGTTAAAATAATACTCGCATCCAATGGTTTCTATAATAAATTGAGATAAAAAATTGATAACATATTTGCGATTCCTATTGAAAACTCTATTTATTTTATTCATTTAAAACTCATTTACTTTGAAACGATTGGAAATACTACACAAAAACTAACTAAACACACGATAGGCATTCCCCTCAATACTAGTCATCCAACTCATCGGGATGTTCACCCGGATGTTCATCGAGATGCTCATCTACCTGTCCATCGGCGGGAATGTCCAAAACGAGCCACTGATGAGCTATACTCCAGGCGCAGGGCACCAACTTGGGGGCCATGTCGTGGGTCACCCCCTCTAAGAGCCCCTTCAACTCAATCAACACATTGGGGTCGACATCCAGCGGGCATTCGGCGTCCCGACTCTGACACAAGTCCAACGGGTTTCCCGAAAGGGAGTCGGCGATCGACTGGACAGCCGTTTCGATGGACTCGTGCCCTACCACTAGATCCCAGGCCTTTAGCACGTCGGACAGGCCGCACACCGCCACGTACTGACCCCCATTGTCCACCGTACGTACACGCGGTCCACAATACCGGTGCCCGTCGCTGCGCCCGTACCCCCGTTCCGGTACGTACTCTACCGAACGGGGCTCATTGAAGGGCTCACTGGAGGGCTCACCACCGGAAGGCTCAATGGGAGGCTCACTGGAGGGTTCACCGCAGGGATCAGTGAAGTCGTCGGTGGACTGGGAGTTGCTTTCGGTGTCGTCGTCATCGTCGGTGCGCTTCACGCGCCACACGTAGTAATGGCCGCCGAGTACTACCTGTCCCTTCGCGCC